CTACTTCCGTAGTGATACTGCCTCAGAAACCCAAGGAGGACTCGCTATGAGTCGGGTCTGACTCCATGGCACATAACAACAACAACGACAATGGCTAATGATAGAGAATATCTTTTCATGTGTTTGTTGGCTGCTTGAACATCCTGTTTGGCGAAGTTTCTTTTCATACCCTCTGTCCATTTTTTAATTGGATTGTTTGTCTTTTTGTTATTGAGGTGTTGGAGTGTTCTATAAATTCTAGAGATAAGTCCCTTGTCAGATATATTATTACCAAATATTTTTTCCCAATCTGTAGGTTTAGATCTATGAACCAGTGGACCACATATTCTATTATGGAAATAAGAGATTCATGAAAATGCTTCCTGGCTATATTTATATGAATAATTTCAAACATAAATTTATTTAAATCATAAAGAAACTGTGTCAATAATCTCCTGAACTAACCAATAGGCATCATTCTTCCTAAATACACAAACATTTAGATTTTTTTTATCTACATTTGAAAGGTATGCTAAAATGAGCATGATTTTGATAGTGTTCCAACATAGTAATTTATAGATATTTTCACTGGAAAAATTAATAAAATGTATTAAAACTATGTCTCTCTTGACAAGTATTGATATGGGTGAAAGGAAAGGCAATATACCAAAAGCAAATGACCAGCACAGTAACACTAATGAAAAAGAAGACACAGAGAGGTGCATAAGAGGTACAGACAACAAAGATGAAATCCTTGACATATACAATATTGTGTTATCAGAGATAACAAACATTAATCTATGGATAAATAGATGGGTAGACAGGCTGAATGATCAGATAGGTCTTAAGGCAAAAGGGAATATATGCATGACCATATATAAGGTTGTCAGACGATATTTCTACATACATATTTGTATGTGCTGTAAGAAACATCCAAATATATAACAGAGCTAATAAGGGACAAAGTTATGATAACTTCTTGGCCACAGCCAACCACCCTGAGGGAGTGAGTAGTTGGGTATGTGAGCTTGGCATCATGGTCAGAAGGGACATCAAGCTCAATTGGCACAGCATACTACACAAAAACATTGTTCCACATCCTACTTTGGTGAGTAACAACCAGGGTCTTAAAAGCTTACAAGTGGCCATCTAGATGCAACAATGCATCTAGATAGATGCAACACAGCATCTTCTTATCCAGAGCAAGAATGAAGAAAACCAAAGACACATGGAAACAATTAGTCCAAGGGACTAGTGGACCATGCAAACCTCACCCTACATGACCATGAGAACAGAAGAACTAGATGGTGCCCAGGTACCACTGTCAGCTACTCAGAAATGGATCAGTGCAGAAGATCCTGGACAGAGTGGAAAAACAATGTAGAACAAAACTCAGTGTCATTTAAAAAAAAAAAGAAAAGAAAAAAGACCATGTTTACTGGTCTGGTAGAGGCTGGTGAGACCCCCAAGACTATGGCCCCTAGTTACTCTTCAAGTCTGGAATTGAACTTACTCCCTTGGCTTCCAGCCAAACAACAGACAGGCATACAGGGTCAATATTTACATCAGGTAGTTACACTCCTTAGAATGATCAATCATGGGAGAACAGAAGGGTAGTATTTGCACAGGCAGATATTTCAGGAGGCAGGAATGAAGGACACAGGGAAGAGGTAACTATAGGGAGGAAGTAGAAAGAGAGCTGTTACACTGTGGGGAATTGCAGTCAATGTCATGAAACAAAATGTGTATGAACTGCTGCATGGAAGATGAATTTGCTCTGTAAATTTTCACCCAAATCACAATAAAAATTAAAAAAAAAAAAAAAATTTTCAGTGCGTTGAAAAACAAAGTCTGCAACAAGTAGGAAAGAGTTCCTTGACTACGTCTGACATTTATAAATGCCTGCCTTTTGACAAGAACAGACACATGCACACTCATATTCATTGCAGCACTATTTACAATAGAAAAAAGTTGCAAACAATCTAGGTGTCTATCAACTGAAGAATGGACAACCAAACTGTGGTACATACACACAATGGAATACTATGCAACCCTAAAGAATAATATAGAATCTGTAAATCACCACATAATGTGGATGAACTTGGAGGACATTATGCTGAGTAAAATAAATCAATCACAGAAGCACAAATATTGCATTAGTCCGCTATTGTAAAAGTCAAGGAATGGCTTATATGTGGAAGGAAATTTTCTTTGCTGGTTACCAGGGGTAGGAGGGTAGGGTAGGGAACACTGTTAGATAGGTAGACATAAGTACTGATTTGGGTGAATACAAGGGCAGTGTACCAAATGTGAGTGATCAACATGGTAGCATTGAAGAAGAGGAAGACATAGAGAGGTACATGGGAGGCATAGACAACAAGGATGAACCTTTTCACACATACAGTACTGCATTGTCACTGAAGGCAAACACAGGTATACGGGTGGATAGATGTGTGGGCAAGCTGAACTATTAGGTATGTCCATGCAACAGGGAGTGCACCCAAGACCATGTATAGGGTTGGCAGACAATGGTTCTCCAAGTGTATGTGTATGTTCTGTAAGAACTCCCAGGTGTATAGTAGAGCTGACAAGGGACAAGGTTCTAGTCACTTCTTGGTCACAGGCAGCTTCCCAGAGGGACCGAGTAGTTGAACCTGTGAGCTCAGGACCATAGTCACAGGGGACGTCAAGCTCAATTGGCATACATAACATACCACACAAAACATTGTTCCACCTCCTACTTTGGCAAGTAGTGACTGGGATCTTAAAAGCTAGCAGGTAGCCATCCAGATGCAACGATGGGTCTCTCCTGGTCCAGAGCAAAGAAGAATGAAGAAAACCAAAGATTCATGGAAATAATTAGTCCTCACGACTGGTACACCATGCAATCCTCAGCCTATATGACTATGAGAGCAAAAGAACTAGATGATGCCTGGCTACCACTGTCAACCACTCAGAGAGGGATCTATGTAGGAGATCCTGGACAGAGAGGGAGAACAATGTGGAACAAAACTCAAAATCATTTGGATAAAACAAAAAAGGGAGACCAGGTCTGCTAGTCTGATAGAGTCCAGTAGAACCACTGAGACTATGGTCCCTAGCCACCCTTCAGGTCCGGAACTGAACCCACACCTGTGGCTTCCAGCCAAACAAAAGACAGGCATAAGAGGTGAACATGTACCTGAGGTAGATACATCCCTTGGAGAGAACAATCATGGGAGAAAGAAGGGCTGTTTATGCCCAGGGAGACAGTTCAGGGGGCAGGAGTGCATGAAAGGATGGACACAGGGAAGAGGTAACTATCAGGAGGAAGTAAGAGGGGAAGTATTGCATTGGGTTAAATCGTCAATGTCATCAGACAAGGTGTATGTGAACTGTTGTATGGAAGGTGAATTTGCTCTGTAAACTTTCATTCGAATCACACACAAAAAAAATTGCCTGGCTTTTTTGCACTGTTATATTACTGGCAAACTCTAAAATTCATTAAATTTAATTTAGAGTACAGGATACTCTAAGCTTTTTTGATGTAGAATATGCTGAAAATGGTATGCTTTCTTAGAAGTATCAAAGTATATTTCACTCACATCATTGGCTGTATTCATAAATCCTACTGAAGAAAAGGGTCGTAATTACAGCTGCCTTAGTTTTGATGACAGGTTTATTTGTGTTCAAGAGTTGAAATTTGTGTAATATGATTGCTTTGAAGGCAAAACTTCTACTTCTTTAAATTCCTAGCATCTGGTTCAGTATATAATCAGAGATCAGCATGGATCATAACAAACTATTTCATGGCTTTACATTTTTCTAAACATATATAGAATGCTTATTACAGTCAATCAATCTGAGGGGGAAGGAGTTATAACTTAAGTGTCATGTTTTTAGGTTTTTTTAGGGGAGGCTTTGGTGTGGAGAGGGATGTTCTTATTCACCCACAATTATCATCATGCCAGTCAACTGGCCTTCACATAACTGGGCTGCCTGCATGGGATCATTTATGAGTTAGTACCTTCCATTCTAACACCTTAATCTAACATTTTTCATTTTAGTTTATTAAACTAGGCCACCAAAAACAGTATTTTAAGGAAAAAAAATCCATCAAAATGCAATTAATTAAGACCACAGCAGAATGAAAGAAGCACTGATTTTATGAATAATATTTTGAATGGCAAGAGGAATTTAAATACTTTATGAAATCTGAACTATGATTTTCTTTTTTTAATTTTTAAATTTTCTATCTAAACTTAAAGTTAGGTAAGACTGGTATTTGCTCGGGAGTGGGAGGGAGATGCTATCAATGAGGAGTATATAGGGGGCCTTAACAGTGTGGGTAGTTATGTTTCTTTAGCTAGGTGGTGGGTACACAGGTGCTCATTGTATTACTCTTTCATTCCTTTTCTGTATCTCTTAACGAGTCGTCTCAGACTCACAGCGACCCCTTCTGGTTAGCAGTCAAGTGCCTTAGGCACTACGCCACAAGAGCTCCTCATAGAAGACTTAGGTGTTAAGAAAATAGAAATCAATGTCCCCATCCTCCCAGTGGTTCTTATTCTCAAAAAGGTCTGTGTTAGCAATTAAATGTTGGTTTTAACTGCAATTTTTAGTCGCAAGTGTTCATTTTAGCAGCACGTGATTGGTAGAACAGTGATGTGCCACACCTCAATGTGTAACTCCTCAACTGTGTTAATTACCTCAATCTCCTGTAACTGTTCCTGATTAGTTGTGTACATCTGCTGAAGAGAATCCTCCAACTCCGTGTTCCGATCCAGTAACGTCTTCCCAAGCTCAGCAGCAAGTTGGAGATCTGGCACAACAACCGAATCTTAGAATAGTGCAACATTCTCATTTCAACTTTTTATATAATCCATCCCTTAAAATATGAACAAACCAAGACTCAGCAAATAGTTTAAATTAGATTACAATGGGAGGTAGAATGGCACAGAAGAAAACATGAGTTCTACTTAAAATTCATTTGAACTGGGGGCTTCTACCAGATAAACTACTCTCTTATGTACCCTTACTTTTTTTTTTTTTTAATAGTGATTTGGGTGAAAATTTACCGAGCAAATACACTTTCCATACAGCAGTTCACATACACTTTGTCCCATGAATTGACCACAATTTACCACAATGTAACATCTCCCCTCCTACTCCCTCTAGATAACTACCTCTTCCCTGTGTCCATCCCTCCATGCACTCCTGCTCCCTGAGCTGTCTCCCTGTGCATAAGCAGCCCTTCTTTCTCCCATGATTGTTCTCTCTAAGGAGTGTATCTACCTCAGGTAAATGTTCAACTCCTATGCCTGTCTTTTGTTTGGCTGGAAGCCACAGGTATGTGTACCCTTACTTTTAAGATTTGAAGAATAGTAACCTGCTTTATGGAGTTGTACTCATTAGTTCAGAATTATCATTCAGCATCATGACTGCCAAGATCATAAACCAGTTGCTGTGGAGTCGACTCCGACTTATGGTGACCCCACGTATGTCAGAGTAGACCTGTGCTCCTTAGAGTGTGAACAGCTATTTTTTGGAAGGTCAGAAGTAGATTGTCAGGCCTTTCTTCCAAGGTGCCTCTGGGTAGACTCGAGCCACCAACCTTTCAGTTAGTAGTTGAGCATTTGTTTGTACCAACCAGAGACTCTTCTAAGATCATGATTATTCTATTAATGGAAGGGTCTTAGTCATATCCTTACAGTACACTTTTTTTAGATGTCTAAAAAAGCCAAACGAATTGAGACAGCAATCAGCCCCTTCCCACCTCAAAATAACTCCTCCTTTTTCAGATGGACCCTTGAGCCAAAGCCCAGGAGACCTTTTAATAGACTTGACGGCAACTGGTTTTACTGGTCAGCAACTGTCAAAGCAAAGCGTTATTACAGATCCTGTCTCCTAAGGAAACTAAAAAATCACTAAGTTGAGAAAAGCAAAAATACATCAATAATAATAGTGCAAGTCTCTCTCATGCTTTCTACTTCTCATCATGCCCTTCTCTAAGATAAGCAAAGCAGTAATACAGTTTCTGAAGTAACTAAGTAGCTCATACTTTGCTTTAACAGAAAAGCATATCTATTTTAAACTTCATTTCTTTCTCTTCTGAGAAACAGATATATAAAAGACAGGGTTTGTTCATATAATACACAGTCTCAGAAATGAGAATTTTATAATAATACACAAAAAGTACACTAGGTCTAACATTGCTGTTGTTAGTTGCCACCCAATCAGCTCCGACTCAAGGCAACCCCTGCACAATGGAACAAAACACTGCCCAATCCTGTGGCATCTTCATGATTGTTGGTATTCTCAAGTCCACTGTGGGTTCTGCGAGTCTTCCAACCAGGGGCTCGTCTTCCAGCACTGTATCAGACAACATTCTATTGTGATCCACAGGGTTTTCACTGACTGATTTGCATAAGTACATCACCAGGTCTTTCTTCCTAGTCTGTCTTAGTTGGGAAGCTCCACTGACACCTGTCCATCATGGGTGACCCTGCTGGTATTTGAAATGATGGTGGCATAGCTTCCAGTACCACAGCCACATGTAAGTCACTGTATGACAAACTGACAGATGGGTAGAATCCTAACATAGGTAATTGAAATAATAATCTGCATAGCAAATTTCTCAGAGAGGTGCTCTGATATAGAGGGACATGCAATGAGTAAGAACATTGGAGGTCCAGTTCTGACTACCATTTACTATGAATAAGGAAGACCAAAGAAGAGCTGATGCCTTTGAATTACAGTGCTGGAGAAGAATACTGACTGACCATGGACTGCTAGTAAAACAAACAAATCTGTCCTGGAAGAAGTGCAAATGGAATGCTCCTTGGAAGCGAAAATAGCCAGACTTTGTCTCACTTTGGTCATGTTGTCAGAAGGGACCATTCCCTAGAGAAGGGCATCATGCTTGGTAAAGTAGAGAGTCAAGAAAAAAAGGGAAGACCCTCAATAAAATGGGTTGACACAATGGCTGCCATGATGGGCTCAAGTATAAGGAGGATTGTGAGGATGACACATGATCATTGTTTCCTTCTGCTGTACAAATGGTTGTTATGAGTTTGAGCCAACTTGACGGTACCTAACAACCATTAATATTCTTGCCTAGAGAGAAGATTATCAGAATAAGATTGTGAAAATCAGAATTGAACCCACATCTGTGGCTTCCAGCCAAACAAAAGACAGGCATATGAGTTGAACGTGTACCTGAGGTAGATACACTCCTTGGAGAGAATAATCATGGGAGAAAGAGAGGCTGTTTATGCACAGGGAGACAGTTCAGGGGGCAGGAGTGCATGGAGGGATGGACACAGGGAAGGGGTAACTATCAGGAGGAAGTGGGAGGGGAGCTGTTGCACTGGGGTAAATTGTAGTCAATGTCATGAGACAACGTGTGTGTGAACTGCTGTATGGGAAATGAATTTGCTCTGTAAACTTTCACCCAAATCACACACACACACACAAAAAAAGATTGTGAAAATCATATAAAATCACATAAAAAAATCATACAAAATAATACAAGGAAGTACTTTAGAAACTAAACTGTGATATAAAGGCAAAGTATTATCAGTATTCACTGATTCACAAATAAATGATTTCTTGTTAGGACTACGGCAACCACTAGCTATGCAATGATGAAAACAACAGATGAGGTCCCTGTTCTCCTGCCATCTCCAGATTAATTGGGAACCAGACAGCAAATAAGTAAATAAGCTTACAAATCATGATGAGCACCATACACGTGTATATCTGACAATACCAGACACTGTTCTAAGCACTGGGGATATAATGAACAACATAAATAAGAACAATTCTCTGCCCTCAAGGAGCTTATATTCTAGTAGAGGAGATAGCATGAACAATACAGTATGTAGTTATCCCAGCAACAAGAACTAAAGAGAAAAAATAAAGTAAGGAAGCGGGGCAGAAGAGTGTGGCTATGGGAAGCTGAAATCTGAGAACATGTGACAAGGGTAAAAAAATTGACTTAGTGGCCCAGAGTACCTAAAGAATAGCATTTCAGGCAGAGGCAACACAGGTGCAAAGACTCAATGGAGGATGCTGGACAGAAACTAACAAGGAGCACAGTGTGGCTGGAGCAAGGGAGGGAGGGAGCAGGAGACAAGTCAGAGAACCTATGGGGGTCCAGCTTTTGGCTTTTACTGAGATAGAATCCAGCACAGGCTTTTGACACCATTGCTCTGGCTAAACAGACTGAAACAGACAAGAGACAAGGCAAGTTAGTATCCTGATTTAATGAAACGAAAAAGGAATTCTGTATGGCTGAAGATGTTCCAGAAATAATTACTTTGTACTCATAAGGTATGTAATGTGTATACATAGACCCACAGAGAAACTACCACACTATTAAAGGCAAAGCATAAACATTACACATTACTTAAATCTCTTCTCTGGCCTGTTGTAACATGGAAGCAGGGTGATTAGTTAGGAAGACACTGCAATAAACTAGATGAGAGGTGATGGTGGCTTGGACCAAAGAGAAAGAGACAGAGAAAAGGTGTGGGATTCTGTTTTCAAAGTAGAGTTAAAAGGATTTGTTGAGTAACTGGTTGTGGAGAATGAGAGAAAAAAGGAAACCAAAAACAAAAGTGTAACTGGATTTGTTGACAATGAAAAGAGGGCCCACTTTAGAAAGGGTGGTCAAAGAAGACCTGACTGAGGACACTTCAGTAATACCACGTGAAAAGCTAGGCAAAGGCTCTGTGACACCAAAAAACTTGGCATGTTCTGTGACCTGACAAAATCAACTGAACACCAACAAGGTTTTGAATCTTTGTATCTTTACAAGGTATTTAGCCCAGTTTTCCAGGTAAGACCTGACCAAAAAGCTACATGGTGAGTCACAGGCAAGACAGAAACTATCCAGTCATCAGATTCAAAGTCTCATCATGATTCTCTATGGAATGATCCATAGCTACACAGTTTTAAGTCTATCAAAAGGGATGTCCACACTTCTTTGTTTAAGGTCAATAGTCCAAAGTTCCCTAGCTGAGGTACTTAATCTGTTCTGTTTGTTTTCGTAGATGGCAATGAGAAACTAGAGTAAAGATACCAGGATTTCAGAAGGATCAAGTAGTTGAACCTGTGGGCTCAGGACCATAGTCACAGAGGACATCAAGCTCAACTGGCATAACATACTGCACAAAACATTGTTCCACCACCTATTTTGGTGAGTAGCGACTGGGATCTGGGAGAACAATGTGGGACAAAACTCAAAATCATTTGGAACAAAAAGGGGGACTAGCTTTGCTGGTCTGATAGAGCCTGGTGGAACTCCTAAGACTATGGTCCCTAGCTGCCCTTCAGGTCTGGTATTAAACCCACACCTGTGGCTTCCAGCCAAACAAAAGACAGGCATAAGAGATGAACATGTACCTGAGGGAGCTACACTCCTTGGAGAGAACAATCATGGGAGAAAGAAGGTCTGTTTAGACAGTTCAGGGGGTAGGAGTGCATGGAGGGATGGATACAGGGAAGAGGTAACTATCGTGAGGAAATGGGAGGGGAGCTGTTGCACTGGGGTAAATTGTGGTCAATGTCATGAGATAATGTGTTTGTCAACTACTGTATGGAAAGTGAATTTGCTCTGTAAATATCACAAATATCTATCTATCTATCTATCTATCTATATATCACCAAAAAAAAAAAAAAAAAAAAAAAAAACCGGGATTTGTATTGCCAGCTCTGGCATTCGAAGTACACATATACCTCCAGGCAAGTTAGTATCCTGATTTCACCAAATGAAGAAGGAACTCTGTATGGCTGAAGATGTTCCAGAAATAATTACTC